CTGCCTCCCAGACTCCAGCCTCCACAGCGACTGTACAATGTCTCCACCTCCTCACACTGCCTCCCAGACTCCAGCCTCCACAGAGACTGCACAATGTCTCCACCTCCTCACACTGCCTCCCAGACTCCAGCCTCCACAGCGACTGCACAATGTCTCCACCTCCTCACACTGCCTCCCAGACTCCAGCCTCCACAGAGACTGCACAATGTCTCCACCTCCTCACACTGCCTCCCAGACTCCAGCCTCCACAGCGATGGCAGAATGTCTCCACCTCCTCACACTGCCTCCCAGACTCCAGCCTCCACAGAGACTGCACAATGTCTCCACCTCCTCACACTGCCTCCCAGACTCCAGCCTCCACAGCGACTGTACAATGTCTCCACCTCCTCACACTGCCTCCCAGACTCCAGCCTCCACAGAGACTGCACAATGTCTCCACCTCCTCACACTGCCTCCCAGACTCCAGCCTCCACAGCGATGGCAGAATGTCTCCACCTCCTCACACTGCCTCCCAGACTCCAGCCTCCACAGAGACTGCACAATGTCTCCACCTCCTCACACTGCCTCCCAGACTCCAGCCTCCACAGCGATGGCAGAATGTCTCCACCTCCTCACACTGCCTCCCAGACTCCAGCCTCCACAGAGACTGCACAATGTCTCCACCTCCTCACACTGCATCCCAAACTCCAGCCTCCACAGTGAGTGCACAATGTCTCCACCTCCTCACACTGCCTCCCAGACTCCAGCCTCCACAGCAACTGCACAATGTCTCCACCTCCTCACACTGCCTCCCAGACTCCAGCCTCCACAGCAACTGCACAATGTCTCCACCTCCTCACACTGCCTCCCAAACTCCAGCCTCCACAGCGAGTGCACAATGTCTCCACCTCCTCACACTGCCTCCCAAACTCCAGCCTCCACAGTGAGTGCACAATGTCTCCACCTCCTCACACTGCCTCCCAGACTCCAGCCTCCACAGCGAGTGCACAATGTCTCCACCTCCTCACACTGCCTCCCAAACTCCAGCCTCCACAGTGAGTGCACAATGTCTCCACCTCCTCACACTGCCTCCCAAACTCCAGCTTCCACAACACGGGCACAATGTCTCCACCTCCTCAAACAGCCTCCCAAACTCCAGCTTCCACAACACGGGCACAATGTCTCCACCTCCTCACACTGCTTCCCAGACTCCAGCCTCCTAAGGACTGCACAATTCTCCACCTTCTTACACTGTCTCCCAGACTCCACCCTCCACCACGACTGCACAATGTCTCCATTCCTCACACTGTCTCCAAAACTCCAGCGTCTACAAAGACCGCACATTGTCTCCACCTCCTGAAAATGCTTCCCAAACTCCATCCCCACAGCAAGTGCGCAATGTCTCCACCTCCTCACACTGCCTCCCAAACTCCAGCAACCACAGCGACTGCACAATATCACCAACGCCTCACACTGTCTCCAAACCTTCAGCCTCTACAGGAATTGCACAATGTCTCCATTCCTCACACTGCCTCTACAGTGACGGCACATAGTCTCCACCTCCTGAAAATGCCTTTCAGAATCTAGCCTCCAGAAGAAGTGCACAATGCCTCCACATCCTCACACTGCCTCCCAAACTCCAGGCTCCACAGCGAATGCACAATGCCCCCACCTTCTCACACTGCCCTTCAAATTACAGCCTCCACAGTGACTGCACAATGCCCCCACCTCCTCACACTGCTCCCGAAACTCCAGCCTCCATGAGTGCACAATGGGCCCACCTCCTCACACTGCCCCCCAAACTCCAGCCTCCATGAGTGCACAATGCCCCCACCTCCTCACACTGCCCCCCAAACTCCAGCCTCCATGAGTGCACAATGCCCCCACCTCCTCACACTGCCTCCCAAACTCCAGCCTCCATGAGTGCACAATGCCCCCACCTCCTCACACTGCCCCCCAAACTCCAGCCTCCATGAGTGCACAATGCCCCCACCTCCTCACACTGCCCTTCAAATTACAGCCTCCACAACGAGTGCACAATGCCCCCACCTCCTCACACTGCCCCCGAAACTCCAGCCTCCATGAGTGCACAATGGGCCCACCTCCTCACACTGCCTCCCAAACTCTAGCCTCAACAAGTGCACAATGCCCCCACCTCCTCACACTGCCCCCCAAATTCCAGCCTCCACAACGAGTGCACAATGAGCCCACCTCCTCACACTGCCTCCCAAACTCCAGCCTCCACAACGACTGCACAATGTCTCCACCTCCTCACACTGCCTCCCAAACTCCAGCCTCCACAGCGAGTACAAAATGTCTCCACCTCCTCACACTGCCCCCCAAACTCCAGCCTCCACAACGAGTGCACAATGCCACCTCCTCACACTGCCCCCCAAACTCCAGCCTCCACAACGAGTGCACAATGCCACCTCCTCACACTGCCCCCCAAACTCAGCCTCCACAATTAGTGCACAACGCCCCCACCTCCTCACACTGCCTCCCAAACTCCAGCCTCCACAGCGAGTACAAAATGTCTCCACCTCCTCACACTGCCTCCAAACTCCAGCCTCCACAGCGACTGCACAATGTCTCCACCTCCTCACACTGCCTCCCAAACTCCAGCCTCCACAGCGAGTGCACAATGTCCCCACCTCCTCACACTGCCTCCCAAACTCCAGCCTCCACAGCTAGTACAAAATGTCTCCACCTCCTCACACTGCCTCCAAACTCCAGCCTCCACAACGAGTGCACAATGCCACCTCCTCACACTGCCCCCCAAACTCAGCCTCCACAATTAGTGCACCATGCCCCCACCTCCTCACACTGCCTCCCAAACTCCAGCCTCCACAGCGACTGCACAATGTCTCCACCTCCTCACACTGCCTCCCAAACTCCAGCCTCCACAGCGAGGCCAGAACAGGGTACAACGCTGTCAGCTGTAGGTTCCAGCATAAGGTTGCAGGTTTGTGGGATTCTCACACCGAGCTTCTCACTGTGACCTAGGGCAGGGCTGCCATTCCCTGGGATTGCACAGTGCAGTCAGGGACCTGCCCAGATGCTCACACTGACTTTCCTGGACAGACCCCAGCTGATATCCACATCTGCGTGCTCACTCATTCTGCCACCGCACCCTCAGTGCAGACAGAGGGACTCGAACAGCACCCGCAGGGGCAGCATGAGGGCAGCATTATTTGGCACTCCACCTGCACCAGGCACTGTGATAGGCGCCCCCACTGACCTTGCTGAATCCCTCAAACCTCTGAGGTCAGCTCCATGACTTCAGCCATTTTACAGAAAAGAAGGCTGAGGTTTGAGGAGGTTGGTAAGCCCAGGAAGTAATCTGGTCAGGATTCCAATGGGTGTTCTGCTCACTGGAGCACCTGATACAGAGGGGCTCCACGAAGGTTTGTCGAGTGAATGAACATTGCCTAGCTCCCAATCTATGCTACTTAACCGTGCAAAGCTCTGTTCTGACTTCAGTTGGTTGTATCTTTCAAAAATAACCAATCATTTTAGTTTATTTTAGAGTCCCATCTATCTCTTTAATAGAAGTATACTAAATAGAAGTTTTTGAGCCACCTGTTCCAAAACCTTGTTAAATTATTTTTCTTTTCATTTTTTAGTTATAAAAAGTTATTGACCAGGCACAGTGGCTCATGCCTGTAATCCCAGCACTTTGGGAGGCTGAGGTGGGTGGATCATGAGGTCAGGAGTTCAAGACCAGCCTGGCCAAGACGGTGAAACCTCTTCTCTACCAAAAAACATAAAAATCAGCCAGGTGTGGTGGCAGGTGCCTGTAATCCCAGCTACTAGGGAGGCTGAGGCAGAGAATTGCTTGAACCTGGGAGGCGGAGGTTGCCATGAGCAGAGATCATGTCACTGCACTCCAGCCTGAGTGACAGAGCAAGACTCTGTCTCAAAAAAAAATATTTAAAACAAAAAATTATTGACATATAATAATTACACATATTATACAACGTGGAACTCGGTCTGCATTCCGTATTTATGGGGTACATGGCAATGTTTCAACACATATTATGTACGGTGATCAGATGAGGATTGGCACTTCCATTGGGAGCACTCAACATCCCCCTCCTGTAACGTATTATTGTGAATCATGGTCAACCCGTAGTGCTGTAGAGCCCTGGAGCCGATTCCTTCCAACCAGCCGGAGACGTGCGCCCTTTAGCAAGTCTCTTCCTCTCCCCCTTCCCTATCCTTCACAGCCTGCAGTATCTCTGTTCTACTTTTTCCTTCCTTCTATGAGATCAACTTTTTTTAGCTTCCACAGATGAGTGAGAACGAGCGAGGCTTCAGTTTCTGTTCCCGGCGTAGTTCGCCTCACATCATGTCCTCCAGCCCTGTCCTGTTGCTGCAGATGACAGGGCTCTTTTCTTTTTTATGGCTGAGTAGTATTTCATAATGCATATGCCCCACTTTCGTTACCCGCTCATCTGTGTTCGGACACCTGGGACGACTCTACACCTTGGCCGTGGTGAACAGTGCTGAGACAAACACGGGTGCAGATGTCTCTTCCGTATCCTCATTTCCCTTCCTTTGGAGAAATGCCCAGCAGTGGGATTGCTGGGTCATATGGTAGTTCTATTTGTGGTGTTTTGAGGAACCTCCATACTGTTCTCTAGAGTGGCTGTACTAGTTCAAAAACTTATTTTTAATTTCTTTAAATGGTGGTGTGAGGTTGACATTATGGTTTTGCCCTGAAGAATTTTCTAACCATTTCTGACGAAGTATATTAAATACTGCCTTTCAAATTTTTATGCACAAAAAAAATTTCTTTCCAAGGATTTTGTTAAAATGAAGAGTCAGACTCCGTGGGCGTGGTGTGGGGCCTGAGACTCTGCATTTCCAACAAGCTGCCAGGTGATCTGAAGCCGCTTGTCTGAGGACCACACTTTGAAAAGCAAGACGTCAGGCTCTCCCTCCCTAGACTTTGGCTCACATTGTTTGTAACTGATTTATAGTGAGGAAGCATTACTCCTTATAGGTTATCTGACCCTTACCTTCAAACGATGGGGGCTGTCTCTAGAGCAGAGCACAGAAGACTGCTGTGGGTGGAACTGTGTCCTCCACAAAGTCACACGTTGAAGTCTTAAACTCCAGGATCTCAAATGTGGCCTCACTTGGAAATAGGGCCATCACAAATGTCATTTGTTCAGGTGAGGTCATACTGGGGCAGATGGCTCCTAATCATGTGACTGACATCTCTATAAAAAGACAAGACTGGCCGGGCGCGGTGGCTCACGCCTGTAATCCCAGCACTTTGGGAAGGCGAGGCGGGTGGATCACGGGGTCAGGAGCTCAAGACCCGCCTGGCCAAGACAGCAAAACCCCATCTCTACTAAAAATACACAAAGTAGCTGGGCGTGGAGGTGCACCTATAGTCCCAGCTGCTCAGGAGGCTGAGGCAGAGAATTGCTTGAACCTGGGAGGCGGAGGCTGCAGTGAGCTGAGATCCTGTCACTGCCCCCCAGCCTGGGTGACAAAGACTCTGTCTCAAGGAAAACAAAAAAGCAGGAAAGATTCAGGGACAGAGGTCACATAAAGATGAAGGCAGAGATCGGGACGACACCTCTACAAGCCAAGGAGCACCAGAGCGAGCAGCGAACTCCAGAAGCCGGGGCAGAGCCCTGAGGCAGCTTCTCCCTCACAGCCCCCAGAAGGAACCACCCTTGATGTCAGCCCTGCGCTCTCCCCCGAGAGAATACGCATGTCATAAGCCCCCGGTGTGCATTCCTTTCTTAGGGTAGCCCGAACCCGAGCAGACTAAACAGGGAAAGCGCACGGTAACACTCCAGCCCAGCCACAAAGCCGCCCCCGAGGACCTCTGGAAGCTCCTGCCTCGTTCTGTTCGTAGAAGCGCAGTGTTGGGGCAAGGGCGGCGGAACCTTCACACGGCAAGTCCTAGAGGAAACATTATTCATATCACTTAAGGGACGCTTACCTGCTCACCTCTTCCCCCAGTTGGCCTTACTCCAGGCTGAGTCTGCTCCCTCACAGGCCTATCAACCGTTCTAGGCCACGGGCCACCACGCGCAGCGCTCCCTGGCCTCAACACTTCCTTTCGCTCCTCTCATCTGACACACCTGCCCCTTTCCTCACCTGCGCCTCAAGGCCCCCTAGTTCTTCCAGGCCCACCTCAGAGCCTCCTCCCTCAGGACGGCTTCCTTGGTTCCCTGGAAGGGAAATGACGAGTGTGTAAATTGTAGTCCTCAGTTTTTTACCCTTTTGTGTTAATCATAGCCTCCTAGGGGCTGTCTGAAGTCTCTCTAATGAGTGTAATTCTAAAGATGACCCCTACGATTCCATCCCTGGTTATTCAATCAGACACTAATTTGAGACTGCCACAAAGGATTCCCCGGATGTAATTATCATTCCACGTCAGTTGAACTTACCATCTGATGTGGGATGTAGGTAGGTGGGCCTGACCCAATCAGGTAAGCCCTTTGAAAACAGAAAACCTTCTCCAGCTGGTAGCAGAAGAGAAAGTAAGAGCCCAAGCATGGGAGGGAGTCACCATCACCGCTTGAGGATTTGGTGGGGGGTTGAGGGGAGGGTGGGACATATCAAGGAACGTGGGTGACGTCTAGAAGCTGACAGCAGCCCCTGGCTGACGGCCCACAAGGAAGCATGGTCTCTATTCTGCAACTGCAAGGAATGAAAATCGGCCACCGGCGTGAACAGGCTCAGAAGCAGGTTCTGCTCAGAGCTGCCAGGTCGGAGCCCAGTCCTGGGGACACCTAGATTGACGTTTGTGAGATCCAGAGTGGAGAACCCAGATGAGCCTGCTTGAGCCTCCGAGCTGCATACTTGGAGCCTGTGATTGGCTGATTTCAGTTGCTAATCTGGTGGCATCTGCTACGCAGCCTTGGAAACGAATACATTGCCCCAGCTGACAAAGGCTGGAGGACACTGGCTGCTCCCTCCCGCCTCCCCCGTGCACCCTTCCAGGGCCCTGAGCCCCACACAGGGCCTTTCCACCAACTGGCCCAGCTACTTGGTGATGCTGTGTTTCACTGCGTGCTGACGGTTGCTATGGTTTTTCCGCGTTTACTGAGGAAGATCAGTCACACAACCAGATGCCCACAATGCTTCTTGCAATCGGGTCTCCTATTTAGTTGAAAACAAGCCAGACCCTGCTCATGTCTATAATTTGAAATTAGCTTAACTGCAGTCAAGTTAAATGGCTCTCAGATGTGAAAATAAATCTGAGTGAAAGGAAAGTGAAAACTTAGGAGACCCACCTTCCTGCTGCTAGAATCCAAGCCCATCTGTCGATTTTCACGTGGCTATCCTTTCCCTCCCATGAAAGAAGAGTGTTGCTGGGTTGAAGATGGAGATGAACTAGTCCCGCTCTCTCCCACGGTGATGTATTTCCCCGTCGTTCACTTGCAGTTCTGCCTGGAATGCTTCAGTCTGTTCCAGCTGCTGTAACAAAATGCCATAAACGGGGAGGCTTATAAACAGCAGAAGTTTATTTCTCACAGTTCTGAAAGCTGGAAAGTCCAACCTCAAGGTGCGGGCAGATCTGGCGCCTGGTGAGGGCTCACTTCTGGGTTCATACCCAGCAGCTTCTCACTGTGTCCTCACTGAGTGAGGGAGCTCTCCAGGGCCTCCTTGTAAGGGCACTAATCCTATGCACCAGGGTCCACCCTCAGGACCGAAGCACCTCCCAAAGGCCCCCGCTCCTGCACCCATTACCTTGGGGGTTAGGTTTCAACACAGGAATTTTGAGGAAACACAACCATTCAGCTCTGAGCAGGTTGTAGCTTTAACTCCTTTAGGTTATTCACCTTTAACACGGGGTGCCAAATAATGTAACACTGCTTCGCAAAACGTGAAACCATGTTTCTCCCTATTGCTATCATGTTCTTTGTCTCATTTTATTTTTAATGTTTTGATGGCAGTGAAGTGGAGGCATCCTGGGCATGGGTCAAAAGTCCTGGAATGGAATGAAGCCTGTGTGCTGCCTTTTACTTTTTTTTTTTTTTTTTTCTGAGACAAGATCTTGCTCTGTCATCCAGCCAGAAGTGTAATGGCACCATCTCTGCTCACTGCAACCTCTGCCTCCCAGGTTCAAACAATTCTCTTGGCTCAGCCTCCCAAGTAGCTGGGACTACAGGTGCATGCCACAATGCCGGTCTAATTTTTGTATTTTTAGTAGAGACAGGGGTTCACCATGTTGTGTCAGGCTGGTCTTGAATTCCTGACCTCAGGTGATCCACCCACTTCTGCCTCCCGAAGTGCTGGAACTACAGGTGTGGGCCACCACACCTGGCTAATTTTTGTATTTTTAGTAGAGATGGGGTTTCACCATGTTTGTCAGGCTGGTCTCGAACCCCTGAGCTCAGGTGATCCACCCACCTTGGAGCCTTTTTTCTTTCTAGGTGTGACTTGAGGAATCCCTCCCACTTTTTGTGATCTGGCTCTCTCTGTCCCCAGGGTGGGCTGAAGCCGCCCGTCCACACCGAGGCATGTGCACGCACGAGGGCGACTCTGACCCCCCCAAGGCTGCTTCATGCACATCTCAGACGGTGTCTCCCTGCCCAGGCAGAGGAGGTAAGGAACTTCTCTGAGGTCCTGACATGTTAAGGAAAGAACTGCTGGTAAAGGCTGCTAGGCAACAATTTTGCATGTTCTTCACATGTACCCCAAAACCTAAAATTCAATTAAAAATAAATTAATTTTTTTAAAAAAGGCTGCACGACGCCTGAGCAAAGGGCTTTTGGTTTACTTATTTTTTTTTAACTTACTATGGCATGTATCTCATGAAGGGAAGTGAAATATTTCTTTTTCTTTTTAAATTGTACTTTAGGTCCTGGGGTACATGTGCAGATCATGCAGTGTTGCTGCATAGGTACATACATGGCAAGGTGGTCTGCTGCCTCCATCCCCCCACCATCTGTATCTGGCATTTCTCCCCATGTTATCCCTCCCCACCTCCCCACCCCCCACCGTCTCTCCCTCAGCCCCCCACCCCACCTGACCCCAGTGTGTGATGCTCCCCTGCCTGTGCTCATGTGTTCTCATTGTTCAACACCCGCCTATGAGAATATTTCTAAGAACTGAAGATACTCTAAAAGCAGAAGAGGGAGGGTTTCTTTCAGTGTAGACCCTCAGACTGTTCGTCTGTTACCTGCTTGGCTTTTCTTCGAATGAGGGGCTTTGTAAGCAGGACAGGGCCTGACTCTCTGTGAGCGCCTCCTGGAAGCCTCTCTCAGTTTCCTTCCTCACTTCAGCCCCGGTGCTCCCCACGAGGGGCTTTAACAAGGGACTGACGTCCTCAACTGCAAAATCCAGACGTCCTGTTTAGTCCTCGTTACTCGTCTGCCACATCCTGGCCTTTCAACTCTTCCTCTGTGTTAAGATCCTCTCCTCTCTCACTTCCCAAGGGGGCATTTTCTCTTGGCTTTTTCCCCTTCCTCATCTCCTTGAGGGCACCGTGTGCCAAGGTAGGTTCAGTCTCTTCCCAGCTCTCGAGACTCGATGATGACATTTTCAGTAATGCTGCTAACCAGTGCAGTCACATCGGCAGTTTGAAACTGGTGGAGCTGGGAGTGTTTACACCATGAGAATTGGCAAATGCGACAACTCGGGGTCTTTACTCTTCCCGTTTTTCTCAGAACTGCTGTTAACTGTTGCCAGCATACCCCTGTTTCAGGACTTTGGGTCAGGCCGTTCTGGTTTTTGCATCAGACAGATAAATCTGTTTTTTAATTTGTTTTTATTTTTTAAAGGTGGGGTTTCTCCGTGTTGGCCAGGCTGGTCTCGAACTCCCAACCTCAGGTGATCTGGTTTTATACCTTCAATCGTTCCATCATCCAGACCATTTTTCACATAGTTGCCATTGATGCAAAGTACAAAAGCGATCGTCATTCCTCTGTTAAAAGCTTTCTGATGATGAAGAGCCATTCTCTGGCATAGCAGAAGATGTTGGCTACTGTCGGGTCTGGGTGTTCTCCTGCACCCTGTGTTAAGGTGACAGTGGGTCGTGCTTCACACTCCAAGGTCTCAGCTTTGCTCTCACAGTGGTTACCACTTCCTACGTCTTCAGGCATCATCTTCTCCATCATGAAATCATCAGTCCTCAAAGTCTGCTCAGAGATCCTTCCCTGTGCCCCTACATTTCTGGGGACACTTAACCACTGCCTTGGAGGGATTCATTTGCTAGCTTGCTTCCCCAGTGGCCTGAGAGCAAGAGCACCCCTCCATACAGCCTTTTCACCCCAATTTTGTTTATGGTGGTAAAATACACATAACATAAAATGATGAAAAATGAGAACACATGGACACAGAGAGGGGAGTACTAAACACTGGGGTCTATAGGGGGGAAAGGGGAGGGCCAGTGGGAGGGGGAGGTGGGGAGGGACTGCCAGGGGAGAAATACCAAATGTGGGTGAAGGGGAGAAAGCAAACAAAACACACTGCAATGTGTGTACCTATGCAACTGTATTGCATGCTCTGCACATGTACCCCAAAACCTAAAATGCAATAAAAAAAAATGTATTCTTAACCATCTTAAGCGTATTTAACCAGTTCAGTGGCATTAAATCATTTAAAATGTGCAACCATTACTACCATCCACCTCCATAACGCTTCTCCTTGTGAAACTGAAATTCTATACCCAATGGACACTAACTCCCCATTTCCTCCCTCCCCAAATTCCCTGGCAATGTCCATTCTACTTTCTGTCTCTATGATTTTGCTTAGGTACCTCATATAAATGAAAGCATATAATGTTTTGTCTTTTCCTGATGAGCTTATTTCACTTTGCAAAATATCTTCAAGCTTCATCCACACTGTGGTGTATACCAGAATTTCTTTAGGTATTAAGGCTGAATAATATTTCATTATACACATTGCCTGTCCATTCACCTGTCATAGACACTTGAGTTGCTTCCGTGTTTTGGCTACTGTGAATAATGGTACCATGAAAATTGATATACAAATGTCTTTAAGACTGCTTTCAGTTCTTTTGTTGTCTGGAGACCACAGATGCTGGAGAGGATGTGGAGAAATAGGAACACTTTTACACTGCTGGTGGGAGTGTACATTAGCTCAACCATTGTGGAAGACAGTGTGGCGATTCCTCAAGGACGTAGACATAGAAATTCCATTTGACCCAGCAATCCCATTACTGGGTATATACCCAAAGGATTATAAATCATTCTACTATAAGGACACATGCACACGAATGTTCATTGCAACACAGTTTACAATAGCAAAGACCTAGAACCAACCCAAATGCCCATTGATGATAGAGTGGACAGGGAGAATGTGTCACATATACACCATGGAATACTATGTAGCCATCATAAATGATGAGTTGGTGTCCTTTGTAGGCACATGGATGAACCTGGAAACCATCATTCTCAGCAAACTGACACAAGAACAGAAAATCAAACACTGCATGTTCTCACTCATAGGCGGGTGTTGAACAATGAGAACACATGGACACAGGGAGGGGAGCATCTCACACTGGGGTCTGTTGAGGGGGAATAGGGGAGGGACAGTGGGATGGGGAGTTGGGGAGAGATAGCATGGGAAGAAATGCCAGATATAGATGAAGGGGAGGAAGGCAGCAAAGCAACTGCCATGTGTACCTATGCAACTATCTTGCATGTTCTTCACATGTACCACAAAACCCAAAATGCAATAAAAATAAATAAATAAATAAAAGAAAATACCACCAGCAGAGTGACTTAAATAACAATTTTATTTCTCACAGTTCCGGCAGCTGGAGAAAAAAAGAAAAGAAAGTCTATTTTGCCTGATATTAGTATAGCCACTTCTGCTCTCTTTTGGTTACTATTTTCACAGAGTATCTTTTTGCATCCTTTCTGTTTCAATCTGTTTGTGTCTTCGGATCTGAAGTGAGTCTTTCAGGGACAGCAGACAGCTTCATTATTTTTTTAAAAAATCTATATTGTCAATCTCTGTCTTTTGATTAGAGGATTTAATCCACTTACATTTTAATTAATTACTGATAAGGAGAGACTTACTGTTGTCGTTTTGCTATTTGTTTTCTGTATGCCCAATAGATTTTTTGCCCCTGATATCCTGTATTACTGTCTGTGTGTTCAGTTGATTTTTTTGTAGTGGAATATTTAAATGTCTTTCTCGTTTCTCTTTGTATATAATCTATAGCTATCTTCTTTGTGGTTACCATGGGGATTACATTTAACACCCTGAAGTTACAGCACTCTAATTTGAATTTCTATCAGCTTAACTCCAGTAACACACAAAATCACTTTAATAGCTTCTTAACATTTCTGTCCCTACCCTTTTCAACTGCTGATGTCTCAAAATTCTATCTGTATACACTGTGCGCCCCAAATCATAAACTGATCATTTAAAAAATTACTTAGTTTCTTAAATTATGTAGAAAATAAAATGCTGAGTTAAACCAAAGTTACAATAATATGTGC